AAAAAAAAAAAAGTTTAAGTATAGGCCTGGCGCAGTGGCTCACATCTCTAATCCTAGCACTCCAGGAGTCCAAGGCAGACAGATTGCTTGAGCTCATGAGTTTGAGACCAGCCTGAGCAAGAGCAAAATCCTATCTCTACTAAGAAATAGAAAAACAGGTTCAGCACATGTAGCTCAGTGGTTAGGTCATCAGCCACATACACCAGGGCTGGCAGGTTCAAACCTGGCCTGGGCCTGCTAAACAACAATGACAACTATAACAAAAACAAAGAATAGCCAGGCATTGTAGCAGGCACCTGTAGTCCCAGCTACTGGGCAGCTAAGGCAAGAGAATAGCTTAAGCCCAAGAGTTTGAGGTTGTGAGCTGTGACACCAGAGCACTGTACCAAGAGTGACATAGTAAGACTCTGTCTCAAAAAAAAAGAAGGAAAAAAAGAAATAGAAAAACTAGCCAGCATTGTAGTGGGCACCTGTCGTCCCAGCTTCTTGGGAGGCTGAGGCAAGAGGATCACATGAGCCTAAGAGACTGAGGTTTCTGTGAGCTGTACTGACACCCACAGCACTCTACCCAGGGTCACAGAGTGAGACTGTCTCAAAAGAAAGAAAGAAAGAAAGACCAACAAACAAAAAGTTTAAGTATAATGAAATTCCTAGCATTTCTTTGTGTCCTAATCGTGATGGTGTGAGGTCTAGGCAAACCTGATGAAAAGTAAAACTATTTATACATAGCCTTGGTTATGTTTTTAGAAATATTGCAAACTGGCCATTTTTAAGCCTGGTAATTTCAGGCCTAGTTCTAGCCCTTTTTAGTCCATGATTAATTTTCTCTTCAACAGTCATCCTTGTAATCATGGCCAAAATTGAATTTGTTTGAGTAACAGAGAAAAAATTACTACGTAAATAGGATTGTGTTGGGCATGAAGTGTTAGGTAAAAAGTGCTTGACTTAGAAGCTCGGTCCTTATCTGGGGTACAGAAGAACTCATTTTCCCATAACGTATTCCACTAACACTAGTGTTTGGAGGTCAAATGACTTTAAGAAATTCTTTTTTTTTTTTTTTAGAGATAGAGTCTCACTTTGTCACCCTAGGTAGTGTTATGATATCACAGCTCACAGCATCCTCTAACTCCTGGGCTTAGGTGATTCTCCTGCCTCAACCTCCTGAGTAGCTGGGACTACAGACACCCACGACAATGTCTGGCTATTTTTTTCTTGCAGTTTGGCCAGGGGCCAGGCTCGAACCCACCCCCCTCGGTATATGGGGCTGGCGCCCTACTCACTGAGCCACAGGAGCCACCCAACTTTGAGAAATTCTTATTACGCTATTATTCTCCCAGAGATTTACTGTGCAGATTAGCACATTATGGTCAAAAAAAATCCTATTATAAAACCTTTTCTTTAGGGAATATTGCTTAGACCTTTCAGTGTCCCATAAAACAAGAGTTCCATGAAACATTTTGTGAAATAGCACTGTAAATGATTTATTGAAAATATATACTTATATTACTGATAAAATGTGTTACCCTAGGCCAGATGTATAAGGAAGGTGATATTTCTTGACAAATCTTTTAGTTTTAAAATAAGTAGCACTAATAGTAGGAAATACTAGAAAAGTATCAGGAGGGGACTTGAAAGATCGTTTAGCCACCTGGTCTTATTATTCCAGAAAAACACTTTTTAAAACTTCATCAGCTATGTTACCTTCTGGCAGTAGAATACAGACTAAAAACTAAATATTTTAAAAGATTTGACACAAAAGGTTCCCTTCCAAAGGAGTCTTGTTTTCTATAATTTGTTCTCATTCCTCTACTTTCATCCTGATAATGCCCAAAGGCGAAGTCATAATGTGGTTTAATTTATTTTGATTTATTTGTTTTTTTCCTATCTCTTCTAACATTTTAAAAATAATTTTTGACATACTGTATTTGGTAATGAGAGTTATAAGAAAGACAAGAAAAGGAGATATATTACCTTCGGGCTTGAAAGGTGATTCCTCCTGTACTCAATTGTCTAGATATCTGCAGAGTTAAAGTAACCGCTCAGTCAGAACACACACTCGCAAGAGGAAAAGAAATCAGTCTTTTTAAAACTTTGTAAACAAATCATACGTGGAAAGAACTCGAAATTTTCTGTGGTTAAATTTTTATTCCCAAAGTAATACATATTTACTGTAGAAATTTTTAAAAATATAGAAAAAGACAAAAATAAAATAAAAATCACCAGAAATAAAACAGTAGCATTCAGGTGGGGAGCATAAGAAACATTTTAGTTATGTATAGTGATGTGTAGATTTAAACTCGTTTTTGTTTCTTAACATGAGAATTCAAGCCCCCCCCCTTTTTTCTATTTTTGAAGAAAGGAATCTACCCTTTTTGTAAGGAGGACATGTAGCACACCTACACACACACACACACACCCCTCCACACATGCACGCACACCCCACACACACCCCACACACACAAACTCCACACACGCAACCTCCCTCACACACCACATACACACACACCACACACACACAAACACACACACACCCCACACACACATCACTACACATACACAGCCCACACAGACACAACCCTACACACACCCACAAACACATATACCCCCACACACACCTCTACACCCACACATACACATACGCGTGCACACCCACATACACACATACCCCCCACATACCCACACACATCTCCACACACATACCACACACACCCCAAAATGAAAACATTTCTTCCCTCCAAAGAAGATTTGAAGCCTAAGGCCTTTCTTCCCTTGAAGAAAGGAGAACCTATATTTGTGATTTTTTAAGGATTTGGATTGAAAACAATTTGGCTGTGACCTTATAGCTTAAAAACTAAAATGGAACAGCAGATTGCTCAACAAGCCCTCTCCTGGGATAATAAATTGCCCAAATGTGCAAACCTCTCACTTACCAAGCCACTGTTTCCTTTTCCAGATTTCCTTCAAGGGCCTGGTGTGGTGGCTGAGGCCTATAATCCCAGCACTCTGGGAAGCTAAGGTGGGTGGATTGCCTGAGCTCACCAGCCTGAGCAAGAGTGAGACCTCCGTCTCTACAAAACATAGAAAAGATTAACCAGGTCTATGGTGGGCGCCTTTAGTCCCAGCTACTTGGGAGGTTGAAACAAGAGGATCTCTTGAGCCCAAGAGTTTGAGGTTGCTGTGAACTATGATGTCCCACACTCTACCAAGGGTGACAAAGTGAGACTCTGTATAGTGAATTTGAGATTTTTTTCCCATTTGGAACCGAAGAGTTTTAAGTAATAGAGAAGGGAAATTATAAAATAACTCAAATATCTTATGCTTAAGCTGTTATTTCTTCACCATGGAAATTCTGTATTCATGTATGATTGTAACAGAGCAGGTTGGTCTATGGAATATTTCATTGCTGATGTGTAGTTCTTTACTTTAGGGCACAGGAGTTTTAACAGCCAGAGTGGATTTTCTGCAATGTTACATAAAGAAGGTTACTCTTGGAACCAGGAGACCTGAATTCTTTTTCCAGTTCTGCTGCCTCCTGGAAGGGTGGCTATTCACAGATGTTATGTTTCATTCCAAAAAAGATTTGAATGGAAGCTAAGAAGTCTTTTGTTTTGTTTTGTTTTATTATCCTTCATTTTATTGCACTTTGCAATAGTGCATTTCTTTACAAATTGAAGTTTTGTGACAACCCTGTATCTAACAACACCATTTCTCCACTACTACAGACTCGCTTTGCATCTCTGTGCCACATTTTGGTAATTTTCACGGTATTTCAAACTTTTAAATTAATATTATATCTATTCTGGTTATTATTGAAATTGTTTGGGGGCAGCACAAACTGTGCCGGTATAACACGGCAGACTTAATCCAGAAACACAGAACGCTTCACAAGTGTGCGTGTCACCCTCGCACAGGGGCCGTGCTAACCTTCTCTGTGTTGTTCCAACTTTGAGTATATGTGCTGCCTCAGTGAGCAGCTGAGAAGCCGTAACTAAAGTTGAGCTTGATTTCGCTAGGTCTTTGTATTTTATTTAGTAAGATGAGAATGCTGAAATCCGTTCCTCTACAATTTCCTTCACGCATTTCCTTTCATCATCTTCTGTGGTGCCCAGAGTTTAGTGACAGTTAAGCAGAAATAAGTGACAGTTAGGCACTTGTCAAATGCTCTAAAAGTTTTGTTGCTTGAAACATTTAGTATCATTAAGACTTTCTCATAAAATCCATAGCAAAATCTCATTTTATAGAATGGCATCTGAGCTGGAATGCGAGTTTTACAGAACAGAAACAACTGCAGCAGTGAACAGATTCGCAGGTGCCCAGGAGGTGCCAGTGACACTCTACAGCAGTTTGTGGGCCCCTATACGCCCACGTACAGCGGCAACTCTCCAGTCTCCGGTTGGCAGCCTGGCTCTACTAGACATGCTCCACTAGCTCTCCCTGACAGGAAAAGTGGCTGAGAAATGTAAACTTGCACATGAACTCTGTGGCCTCCTTGTGTATTTGATCTTTTTCCCTGTTCACGTTTTCTTCCCCTCCCTACTCATGCAGGCAGTTGGAACACCCACTCTGTGGTCTCTGAAAGTCAAGATGGCATAAAGGAAAGTGAGAGAGGACAGCGGGCAAACGAAGGGAGCAGAATGCACATTTGTTTTCAATGGTCTCTCCTCACAAGACAGCAAAGCCTTCTCTTTTAAGTCGTGTGTTCTGGGTTTCTTGAAAGAGCACTGTGGCCTTTGTGGACAGCCTGGGGAATAATCACAGAGAGTGGAATATCCTCAGAGACTGTCGAGCACAGCCTGGGAGAGGAGAGAGGCGTGAGGAGCAAGGGGGGTTCTTTTCTTTTTCTCTTCACAATTCATCTTGCTTCCATGAGAAGGCATTTCAACATCTTGTTGGCAGGTTAAATGAATAGTCAGCAGTAAAATGAGATTTCCTTTGTAGCAAAGAAACTTCATAACAACCTGCCCCGTAAGCACAAATCTGAAGAGCTATGAAAGGCCGGATCATAAAATTCCATCTACAGGGATGTTGTGATATGTCAACTTCATAAATTCCAGTACTTCCTTAGGAAATAGAGGACCCAATTCCACCCCCTTCCCCCAGTCAAATCCTTCATCAAGTGATGTCTCTTCTGTCTCCAAAATATATCTCCAGTCAATCCATGTCTCTGTCTCCACCACTAATATCCTAGTTGAAGCTATTCACATCTCTTGCCAGAAAGACCGCAGTAGCCTCCTGTCTGCAAAATGTATTCTTGTTCCCATTCCATCCATTCTCCAAACAAGTACAAAGCTGGTCTTTTAAAAATGTAAACCAAAGTTTGATGTACCCTTCATTAAAACCCTCTCGTGGCTTTATATTGCACTTGGAATAAAAAATTTTCTTAGCATTGCTCTGCTTGAATGGGGTTCTTCTCATCTCTTAGCTCTTTCCTCTTTGCTCAGGAGTCTCTCGAGCACGGCTTCTGCTTCTATGCTAATTTCTTCGAGAAATGTTCCTTGCCCCTCCCCCATCCTAAAGAACAACTGCCTCCCCAACTTCTTCCTATAAATCCTAGAATTTATACTCTGAGATTACCTCGTTTGTTGATTTATTCATTTGTCAATTTCTGTCCTTCCACGTTAGAATTGTATGCTTCCAGGACACAAGTACCCATCAATCCGTGAATGGATTAACACATTGTAACATGTATACCATGGAATACTATTTAGCCCTAAAATATGGAGACTTTACATACTTTGTATTTACCTGGATGGAGTTGAAACACATTCTTCTTAGTAAAGTATCACAAGAATGAGGAAAAAAGTATCCAGTGTACTGGATACTAATATAAAACCAATATATAAACAACTACACACACCCACATGAAAGAAAAACACAAGATATTCTAGTGAGGGGGAGGGGAGAGAAAGGAAAGGGGGCAGGGAGGAGAGAGGGTGATTGGCGGGGTCTCGCCTCACGTGCACAGTATGAGGGTGTACAGCACGCCCCCTGGGCGAAGGCCTTAACTACTTGGACTTTTACCTTGGAAACAAAATCAGTGTAACCGAAACATGTGTACCCTCATGTTATTCTGAAACTAAAATATAAATAAAAAATAAAAGTTCCTTAAAAAGAAAAAAAAAGCATATGCATCCAAAGGGCAGAAACTGTCTAAGCCAAAACATACTTCTTTTTTTTTTCATTAAATCATAGCTGTGTACATTAAAGCAATTATGAACTACAATGTGCTGGTTTTATATACAATTTGGAATACTTTCATCAAACTGGTTAACATAGCCTTCACTGCATTTTCTTAGTTATTGTGTTAAGACATTTATAGTCTACACTTAGTAGATTTAACATGTACCCTCAAAACATACTTTTAAATGGCACTCAGTCAAATATTTCTGAATTATTGCATGAATAAAAACAGTTAAATTTCCCTAGAAATATTATTTAAATAATGATTAGAACAAAAAAACAGCTGGGCATTGTGACGGGCACCTGTAGTCCCAGCTACTTGGGAGGCTGAGGCAAGAGAATGGCTTAAGCCCAAGAGTTTGAGGTTGCTATGAGCTGTGATGCCACAGCAGCCTACCAAGGGTGGCATAATGAGACTCTGTCTCAAAAAATAATAATAATAGTAATAAATAATAATGACTAGAAACAAATATAAAAATCAAAATGAGAATCAAAAAGATGATTCTATTTTGGAAGCTAGATTGTCATGGAACTTTGTGAGCAGAAGGACATATCCCAGTAAATCAATGATCAGGAATAATGTGCCCAAATAATTTATATCAAGGAGAATTTGGGATAAATAGTCATAAATTCACGTAGTTTGTTCTCAAGTTATGCTTCAACTTAAGGTTCTTCCTGTTTATAAAAGTTGAACTATAAACATTAATTGGGCCAGATGAGGTGGTACATGCCTATAATCCTAGCACTTTGGGAGGCCAGGGCAGGAGGATTGCTTGAGGCCAGGGGTTTTCAGAACAGCCTGATCAAAAGCAAGAGCCCATCTTAGCAAAAAAAAAAAAAAAAAAAGACAGAAAAATTAGCCAGGTATGATGACTCATGCCTATAGTAGCTGGGAAATACTGGAGAGGCTGAGGCAGGAGGATTGTTTGAACCCAGGAACTTGAGATCGCAGTGACTATGACGATTGATGACACCACTGCATTCCAGCCAGGGTGGCAGAGCAAGAGTCTGTCTCAAAAAAAAATACAAAAGTAACCGATTGTCTCTACCGCAAGCACAGAGTGAGCAAATGTAGCACACACACAGGGTGTCCATAAATTGATGATGCAATTTAAAAATTTAAGATAATTTAATATTTTAAATTGCATACAAACATTATGGACACCGTTTATAAGGATAATTATTACTTGAAAACTTGACTCTTAATGGCAAATTTTACATCCTTATGAAGTTTGCATGTGTGTCATCTACTGCACATTGATCAGCTTTGATTTATAACCACCATTTGGGTTACACCTCCCAAATGGTCAGGTATGACTTTGCTTCTTTGATTGATTTAATTACTAGATTATTTGTTGCTGGTTTTTGAGCAACTCATACGTCTAATTAAAAATTGTTACATTAACATAAATGCAACATTATTATTACATCTATACAACAACAAATTCTTAATATATAATATCCAGTCAACTTTCAAATTTTCTAGTTGTTCATAATTTGGTCTACATTTGGCACTTTTTATATGTCTTAAGTATCTTTTAATGGGCTCCCCCTCCTTTTTTTTTCTTTATATTTATTTGTCAAAGAAACGACAATAACTGTCTGGTGGAGTTTCCCACATCTGATTTTGCTGTTTACATAGTTATGGTGGGTTATCTGGCCCCTAAATTTTATGTAACTGGTGGATACATAGAAAGGCTTGTTCAGACTTAGGTTTGAATGTTTTGGAAGGGTGGGCTGTAGGTATTCTGTCTGTACCACTATCAGGAGCCCCATGTGTCTGGCTGTGTGTTTTATTTTTTATTTTTTATTTTTTTGAGACAGAGCCTCCAGCTGTCCCCCCTGGGCAGAGTACCGTGGCATCACAGCTCACAGCAACCTCCAACTCCTGGGCTTAAGCGAGTCTCCTGCCTCCAAGTAGCTGGGACCACAGGCGCTGGCCACAACGCCTGGCTATTTTTTTTTTTTTTTGATTGCAGCTGTCATTGTTGTTTGGTGGCCTGGGCTGGATTGGAACCTGCCCCCTTAGGTGTATGTGTCTGGTGCCTTAGCCACTTGAGCCCCAGGCGCCGAGCCTGGCTGTGTGTTTTAGTGAGATCACGACTGACTGGTGGGTTCGTTGCTGTCCGCCTTGTCCATCCACTATTGCGTTCCCCTTTAACTTTCACCTAATAGTTCCAGCAGCAATTGGAACAATTGATAACAATTGCCTAACACTATTATTTCATTAGTGACTGCTAACTGACATTCCTTCATCATTTAATAGCTGGACTTTTATTTTTTTGAGTCAGAGTCTTATTGTGTCCACCTGGGTTGAGTGCCCTGGCATCATCACAGGTCACAGCAACCTCTCACTCCTGGGTTCAAGTGATCCTCCTACCTCATCTCCCAGTAGCTGGGACTACAGGCGCCCAACATGATGCCCAGCTAGTTTTGTTTTTGTTTTTGTTTTTTCTATTTTTTGTGGATATGGGGTCACTCTGTTGCTTAGGCTGATCTTGAACTCCTTGCTGAAGGGATCCTCCCTCCTCAGCCTCCCAAAGTACCAGGATTACAGGCATGAGCTGGACTTCTTCAGTAAAAAACTTCTCTCCCTGATTATTTAGATCCTTTGAGGTAAAGCTTGTTCAAGAAAGGCCTGAATCTTTTTTTTTTTTTTTTTTTACAGTTTTTGGCGGGGGCTGGGTTTGAACCCGCCACCTCCAGCATATGGGGCCGGCGCCTTACCCTTTTGAGTCACAGGCACCAGCCTGGGCCTGAATCTTTTAATTAACCAATTTTCAGAATAATCAGT